GGCGGCAGCCGCGGCCGCTTCTCCGCCCCGCAGATCCACTACCTCGTGGAACCATAGAGTTGTTTAGGTTGGAAAATACCTCTACGGTCATCAAGTCGAACCATTAATAGTGTCAAGTCCACCACTGAGACATGTCCCCAAGTGTCACATCTACAATACTCCCAGAAATGGTTACTCTGCTGCTTCTTGGGCAGCCTGTACAAGCGTTTGACAATCTTTTTGGTGAAGAGATTTCTCCTGATATCCAGTCTAAACCTCCACTGGTGCAACTTGAGGCCCTCTCCTCTAATCATATTACTTGTTACCTGGGAAAAGAGAGCAACCCCCACCTTGCTAGAGCCTCCTTTCATGTTGTCGATAAAGGTGCTAACTAAACTGGACTGGCCCCAGAACTGAGCCATGGGGAACACCTCACCACCCCCACAGCCTGATCATTCTGCTCTATTCCTGTGACACCAGTGTCCTTTATTTTGCACTGTGTCTTCTGTGCAGTGAAAAACTCCCAAATCCAGCAGCTTAAGAAGATTCTTGGTATTTCCTGTTGCTCGTACAGTGCAGCAGCATCTTGTGGTGACTCTAGGTAAAGTTACTATCTCTACTGAATCCCCCATATAGGCCAAGCAGCCCTCCAAAAGTTACTTAATCACATAAATCAAAAAATATTTTGAGTTGGAAAGGATCCAGATGGATCACCAAGTCCAATTCTTAAGTGAATGGTCCATATGGGCATCAAACCTTGGCATTGCTGGCACCATGCTCTAACCAACCGAGACTGCAAAAATTTCATCCTAAAGCAAGTTTCTTGCAGGGCTCAGCAGCCCCTGCTCCTTCTCAATTGACCCTTGGATGACAGTTGCAAATCAGGACTAAAAGACCTGGCTGGAAAGCCAACAGCTGCTCTGCTGGGAGATGTGTCCACCTCCCACTTACTTGTCAGCGCCCATCTGCTAGAGAGTTATCAGCTTCCTGACTCTGTAGGTGGGATCACCTTAGCTAAGTGCTGCCTACTGCACTTCAGGCACAGTCAGACAGCCAGGCCCAAGCAGTCTGAATTAGTGGGCTGAGCTCAGTTAGTGGATGTTCCTTTAAGCCCTTGAATGGACAACTCCATTAAAGTAACAGCAGTATTTTCTTTCCAAAGATCCAGCTGGGTGGAGAAAAGAATGAGTGTCCTTCTAGGCTGTCACTCTCCAGTGGCTTGCCAAACTGGATGACCCGTTTCAAATGTACCACTAACTTTCCTCTGAAGATGTTTTGGTGATCCTGGAGGACGTCTCCTGTCCCAGCCACATGTAACATTTAGATCCAGCCCAGACCACACACGCTGGTATTCAGGTTCTGAGACTGAGAGCTTACACACATGTGACCGTAAGTGTGTGGGAGATGGGAAGAAAGATGTCGCCCACAACAGCCTCTGAGCAATCCTGAAATGATGGCATGTATGTAAATGACATAGGAGGGTTCAGAGCAGGAATCTGCTCTCATGAAAATATTTGCCCTCTGTGACATGAGGAGTCCTGCTGATGTCAATGAAACAGGAGTGGCAAGCCCTGGTCCTCAGTAAGGAGTCAGATTTCCCTATTTTTTGTACTCACAGGATTATTATGAACATCTGGTAAACAAATTCTTTCTTAATGGTTGACAAGACTTTGACCATTTCCTTTTAGACAGCTGGCTTAGAATAGGAAGACACAGACTCTAGGGTTTAGATTGACTCTTTTTTTCACAAGTAGCTTCTTCCACACAAGCAAAGATTCTGCTTACACGATTGTATTCACCAGCGAATCATAACTGCTGAGGGGGAAAGTTTTCTCTAAGGATCTATTTAAATCCATGAATCCTTGTTCCTTTACAAGACAGACGCAATGATACTAGCTTTGTACATTCCAATATTTGTTTGATACCTCTGTAAAATAAGGCTTAACAATCCTAAACTCTGTGCAGGAAGTTAAAGAGTAAAGTTACATAGTGATTCAATGCACAACAACGAGATAATTAAACCTGGCACACAAGAGAATTCCTTCTAATTGACTTCCTGGATCAGATTTTGCTGGCAAACATTGGAGGTGAAGATTAAAAGAGTGTAACAGCTTCCATCTTCAAAAGGTGATTTTTAAGGGGAAAATATCATACATTATGATATTGTATCATAATGATACAATATCATTAAGAATTTCATTGGCGCTTCCATGAATTATGTTCTAAACAGGACATACTTCAATGCTATCTATGCTGACATTGGTTCTGTAGGTCCAAGTGCATCCTTAGGGGAGATTATTTTTTGTTACCATGGTGAAAATTATTTTCACTGTATGTGATCACCATTGCCCTCTCTGTTTACTCATAATCTCTGCTCCTCTCATAATCTACTCCTCCACTTTCCCTTTCCCCATATATAAGCATCAAGATTTTTTCATTCTTCCTTTCACTCACAGGTAGCCAGAAAAACCATCTCTCAAACAGTGATGACACCTGTTTATTTACTGGCTTAGATAAAAACCATCTCTCTTTGTATTCAAGTATTGAAGACAAATCAAAGACATGTAATAACTAGAAGCTAAACTTTTTTTTTAGCTTGCTGAAATGAGGCTTATGTGATCCTTCTGTCTGTTTTCTTCTCCTTTCCCACCCTCCTCCTCCATTCAAATGCTTTTAAACCTGTTGGCCAATTCCAGCTAAATTTGGCAGAGAGGGAGGAAAATAATATCTTTGCAACCTTACCAAGCCTAATGAGAATCAGAACTGAGCTGAGAAGAGATACCCAAATGATTGCCCCTGTTTTAGGAAAGACTCTGTTACTC